AGAGTATAGGACACTAATTGAGCTAGCATTTTTGGGTACTCATGCTTAGAAAGAGCTATTCTCAGAATGATGCACAGTAGGAATTTTCTGATGTATAAAAACAGTATAAATGCATATATACCCAAATGAGTATGTCTATGTGCTAATACCATACATAGGTACATCTATATAGGTAAGTAAACATAGAGACAATTCACACATCTGCTTATATAAAGTAAACTATTAACAAAAACTATGCACACCATAAATATAGAACTGATGTCATGGAAATTTCCTTCTAGGACAGTAACTGAGTTCTATTGTGGATTATTAATAAAGTATATTTACATTGAGGGAAGGTTGGGGTAAATGACTAATGAGTTCAAAGTGGTGGAAGGAAGCAACCTTATAGGTGCTTTTACAGGCAGATTTTAAACAGTACACATATAACATGGGATAGATGGTAATCAGTTACTCTTCTGTCCTTTGAATACTAATCCTACATTAAAAATATTTTTAAAATGATTTATAAATACTCTATATATTTATATTTTATATAAATATAAATATTTAAATATTATAATATTTATATATAATATAAATATATAAATATTATATATATATTTATATTTTTGTTCCTCATTAATATGTTAGCAACAATTTTTTTTTGCAATACCCAGGGGGCGCTGTACCACTGAGTTATATTCCCAGTCCCTCTTATTTTTTATCTTTCATTTTGAGATGAGTCTTGCTAAAGTGCTGAGGCTGGCCTTAAATTTGTGATCTTCCTACCTCAGTCTCCCAAGTCACTGGGGTTACTAGTGTGTGCTACAACACCTGGCTAGAATTTTTTTTGTTGTTGTGACATTTTCAGTAAGTTTAACCTCTGAACGTAGGCTTGGGCACAGAGACAGAGGTCTGCATTCATGGCCACAGAAACTACTTTGCTTATCCAGTAGCCCCAGCTGTGTGTGCAGGAGGGTCTTGGACTGTGCTTCGATAATAAAAACAAAAGCAAAAACCTGGTAGGTATTTGACCAGAAAAACACAGTAGAGGAAGACGATGAAGTCTTACAGAGCTTCCTCAAGAGAAAGGGGGTAAGAGGGTATGGTGGTTTCAGTTAATCCCAATTCCTCAGATTTATGCAGGATAATGTTTTTTTCTTGGAACAGCTGTGCAGGGTCAAATGCCATGTGTACTGTGGGAACACAGTGTATCCTGGTGACAGAGTCCATATAGGATTAGCAATTGTCCTTTCCTTATCTCCAAAGATGGCAATGTGGGATCTTTTCCTATAGTCTCCATTGTTCATGTTGATAACATTTTTATTTTATGGAGAGGAGTTCTGGGATCCAGAAAAAAACCTGACTGACTGTTGGGGTTCAAATGACAAGTCTCTGGCCATACCTTTCAGTACCTCTTTGACACATGTTAGTTGCTGAGTGTGTGTGGGGTGCTCTTTTCAGTGAAGATAGCAGGTTTATATACCTACATGGTAAGAGTGCATAAGTACCTACTATGCTGAATTTTGCATCATTCTCAGTGGAAAGAAAAATTACTATAAAAGCCAGATGTTTCACCAAGAGCTTTGACCTTGGACTGGATATGTCCTTGTACTGGTCCAAAGTTCGACTCTGAAGGCTGGATTAAAAGTCGGGAGGCTGCTGTTCTGGTCCCCAGTCATCTTCTAACTAAAGTAATTATTGGTAGTTGGGCACATTTTTATTGCTCTGATCCTCAGTGTTACCATCTTAACATGAAGGTTGGAATGCTGATCTCTGAAGTTGCATCTTCTGACACCAGTATTTAATACTGTGGTTTTGTCCTCTCGAATTTCAGTGAAATCCTACCATAAAACTATCACTGGGATTAGAATTCTGCTTGTGTAAAATGTGCAGCTGTATTATTATGTTAATGAAATAATTCTAGTGGTCAGGTGGAAATAAGCAGGTAGTTTCCATCACAGTATTTTCTCTTGTTTTGCAGTGCTGGGGGTTGAACCCAGGGTCTCAAGGATGCCAGGAAAGTGCTGTACCACTTAGCTATATCCCTAGATCCTGCATGTGTCTTAATTTCTGATACTTAATTTTTCCAGGGTTGTCCTTTGGATTGCCTTTTTAAATGGGTTCTAGTTGTCTGTTGAAATTCACTCAACTTTTCCTCTGTTTCCCATTTTTTTCCCTAGTTCTTTTTTTCTTTTTTCTTTTTTTTAAAGAGAGAGTGAGAGAGGGGGACAGAGAGAGAGAGAATTTTAACATTTATTTATTTTTTCTTAATTCTCGGCGGACACAACATCTTTGTTGGTATGTGGTGCTGCTGAGGATCGAACCCGGGCCGCACGCATGCTAGGCGAGCGCGCTACCGCTTGAGCCACATCCCAGCCCCTTTCCCTAGTTCTTTACCCAGTTAATCATGGTTATTTAAGAGGTCTTGTCTAGATGGGTGTGGTATATGCATGCCTATAATCCTAGTTGAGGATTCCAGGTGCAAGGCCAGCCTCAGTAACTTAGTAAGACCCTGTTTCAAAATCAAAATTAAATCCCCAGTACAAAAAAATAAATAAGAAATAAAAAGAAATAAAGAACTTGGGCTGTGGTTGTGGCTCAGTGGTAGAGTGCTTGTCTGACGTGTGAGGTACTGGGTTTGATTCTCAGCACCACATATAAACAAATAAAGGTCCATCAACAACTAAAAAATATATTAAAAAAGAAATAAAGGTTGTGTGTACTAAATCCAATATCTGGGTCATCTGTGAGTCTCATCCATATTCTTTTTCTCTTTTGAGTATTGGTTACATTTTGTTGCAGTTCTGTTAATATATTTTATATAGAACATCATGTCTAAAAGACTCTTACTAGCTCTAGATTATATCTTCTTTTACAGATTTCTTCTTTTCCTCTATAAGGTAAATACAATGAGGAACTGACTACTTCCACTCTGATGACAATTGAGCTAAATTAAGGCCAGTTTGGTTTTTAGGAAGACTCACTACAACTATGGTTGACCTCCGTTGGTGGGCTTGAGCTTAGCCTCCTGTTCCCTTAACTTTTGCAGTTGGAACATACTCATGTAGATCTGGAGGAGACTCCACTCTGCCTTCTAGAAACCCTCAGCTTAGTATTTCAGCCTTCTTTTCCCAGCTCCAGAACTGAGCAAATGGAGGATTTCCTATCTGTCACCTCAGCCTTTGTGTGTTCACCATAAAGCTCTATTGGCTCCCTTTTCCTTACTAAAAATCCTTTCCCTTGGCAAGACTCAACAGTGTGAGCCCAGAGTTTCCAGATGCCCAGAGGGAAGGAAATCAGATTATCAGTTTACCTCAGTAGGGCTCCTTTCCTCTGGCATTCCTGTCTTTGAGTCCTTTCTAGTGGAATGGAAGCCACAGCAAACTATTTTTCTTTGTAAACCAAGTCAGATGGGATTTACAGTTTCCTAATGTACATAATTTGCATGTTCTCATTTATTCTCATGGAGTCTTCTGTTTTTAAGCATTACATTTTTTTCAGCTTTGTGATAAAAAGTAGTTTTGGGTGGTAAGCACCTGCTGACTCATTACAATATTTCCAAAGGAGGAAAATGGGAATACTTAGGACAATATGGTTCTCTTCAAAATATTTTCATCATACTTTTTCCATTTTTCAATTTAAATTTGTCTAGAAAATATTTTGTAGGTAGAAGATGGTAATGGGGGCAGTTTCAGTTGGTTTAAAGCTCTCAAATATATTCCTTATTGGGCACATTTACTTTTCTCTCTCTTTTTTTTTTTTGGTAGTAAAATGAGGCATGACTGTCATTACAAGCTCTCCCATTTGGGTGGGGAATTCGCTCCAGAGAATTCTAGTACCACTAATAGGCAGTGTCCATATGGTTCACACATGTAAAAACAAGAGAACTAGCCCCTCAAATTACTTAAAGTTGAACCATTTCATTGTTAAGGAGCAAGTCTGTTGTTTGAAGCTGTGTAAGACTTGGCTGGGCCAAGAGCCCTAGGGCTGGTGGAGGCCCTGAGTTCTCATGTTGGCTCTGCTTCCCATAAGTCATCTTTTCTGCAAGGGGCCTCTTGTTTCCTCATGCTGAGAATGAGGACATCAGTATGCAATCACGTGTCTTCTAATGAAGTGGATAAGTTCTGAGAAACGCATTATTAGGTGTTTTTTTGGTGACTGTGTAAATATCATTGGGTGTACTTACATAAATCTAGCTAGTATAGCCAAGTATCATATACTGTGCATGATTGTACGTGCTATACTTTTATTTGACTGGAACACCATGGTTTGTATATGCCAGCAACACCACAAACATGTGAGTAATGCATTGTGCTATGGTTAAAACTGGTAGGAATTTTTTCAGCTCCCATTATTGACAGAAACATCCTTATGCAGCACATGACTGTAGCTGAATCCTAATCCTTTCTGTCTCTGCCCTTTGGATTCCAATGAATCATTCATCACTTGGAAATTAAGGCTGTATTTGGATTTCAATAAACTGTATTGCCAGCATCAATTAAAAGAGTAAAACTAGGCAAGTCTTTTTTGAGTCTTTCAAATGTTCTATGTTTGTGATGCCTAATGGGGAAATAGGAGCTATGTGTCAGTGTCTAAGAAACAGCAAGGAAACAAAAAAAAATAGTAATGTTTAATTCTGGGTGCCTGAATTTGAGTCCCAGGTTTGTCATTCATCTACTTTAAGGCCTTGGGCCTCCCAACCTTTATAAGCCTGTGTTCCTCAGCTAGAAAATGAATAGAATAGTATCTTACCTTTCTCATAGGGCTGTTGTGGGGATTAAATAAAACTGCTTCATGTGTGAAGGCTCTTTCTAAACAGTAAAGAGCTATAAAAACATCAATTATCATTAGGACTAATGATGCAACCCTTGTCAGCAGTAGCCATCTGTTTGTTGTGGCTGTCACTGTCAAAAGCAAGATGTGAAAATGGCTCAAGGGTATTTAAATTATATACACCTTTACTTTTTGTTCATGTCTTACTTTTTTTTTTTTTTTTTGGTTCTTTTTTCTGGTAGGTAACCTGGCACTCTGTTCAAGGTCTGAACTGTCTCCTTGAAGCCATTGAAATGTAGAGCTGGAAGGGACAGCTGGATCATCTTATAAATCTCCCTTTTAAAGATGCAGCTTAGGAAGTTTAACTAACTGACTCACTGAAGGTAACAGCTGCTTCAAGGTAAAACCATAATTAAGAATTTCTCTTAGTTTCAACCCTGATTTGTGCAATTACTCCTGTGATTTTAATCAGACCAGAAGAAATGAAGGAAGTTTCTTTGGTTTTCAAAAATTGGGGTTTGTCACTTGCCTCCTACTTCACAGCCCCTTACCTATTCTGTTGCTGGCACCTCGCCCTAATCCACAGAAGAGCGTCCTCCAGTTCCCACCCAAAGCTGATACCACCAGCTATATTCTTTATTTAATTTTTTTTATTTATTCACAGGTACCTACACAAAGTAGGAAGAATTCTCTCTCTCTCTTTTTTTTTTTTTGCAGTGCTAGGGTTCAAACCCAGGGCTTCATGCATGCCAGTAAGCCACATCCCCTGCCTCCCCGCTGTGCTCTTGATTGTGACCCATTTTTGCCTCTGTCAGGACATATTCTAGCTGTCATACTCTGTCATATATTGTCTTCCTTCTAACTTGGTTATTTTCCTTGGTCTACAAATGTGTCAAAACTCAGAGAATTTTTACTTCACCTTACATACTGCTTCTTCTTGATACTCACTATTGGAAAGAGAAACTGGTGGGCAGAGTCACTGTTTTTTTTCACCTTCGTTCCTTACATGGTAATGTACAAACACAGTGACTGGTTCTTCGTGAGAGCTCAGAGAAGTTCCCTACCTACCACCTTGCCTTGCCCCTCTCATTCCATGTTTCCCTCTTATCTTCCACCTATACCCCCACTTTATTATATTTTATTTTGAGGTTGGGGTCTTGCTAAGTTGCTCAGGCTGGCCTTGAATTTAGGACCTTCTGCCTCATCTTCCCAAGTACATGGTGACATTCTCCCAAGATACCCAGCTCCTTGTCCCCTTTATTGTCCTGTGTTCTCCCCTTCTGACCATTTGTTGTCATTTTGTATTCTAGCCTCTCTTTAAAACATAATCCAAGCCAGGCATGGTGGTGCATGCCTGTAATCCCTGCAGATCAGGAGGCTGAGGTAGGAGGATCATGAGTTCAAAGTCAGCCTTAGCAACGGTGAGGCACTAAGCAACTCAGTGAGACCCTGTTTCTAAATACAATACAAAATAGGGCTGGGGAATTGGCTCAGTAGTTGAGTGCCCCTGAGTGCAATCCCTGGTATTCCCCCAGCCAAAAAACAAAACAGAATCCAAAAAATGACCTTGTTCATTAGTGGCCCAGTGATGAACTCACAGGCCCAATCCTCAGTGGCCTCAGTTTTCCTTTATCTTGCTGCACACTTTCTGGGATCAGAGGCTCCTTTATAGCCTCAGGATTTAGGCTGGCTTCTTCCTCCCTTCTAGTTTTTTCATATCTTGTTTTTATTTATTTATATGTGATGCTGAGGATTGAACCCAGTGCTTCACACATGCGAGGCAAGTGGCTCCACCACTGAGCCACAATCCCAGCCCTCCCATCTAGTATTTAAAATGACATTATTTTCCAGCAGAATTCAGAAGCAACATGTAGTCTTCCCCCCATTCTGCCTCTTCAGTGCTTATGCTCACCGGCACCATGCTGAGCCTTGCCCTTTCAGTCCCTCAAATATCTTTTCTTCCACAAACAATTGGCTCAAACACCCTCTTCCAGGAAGCCTTCCAGCAACCTTAGTTACAGCTCCACAGAACTTTAAAGGTCCTTCTAGTAGCCTGATTTCAATGCCATTGGGATTCTACTTCATCCAGCTTCTAGTGACTTCTTTGTGGTCTGAGATTGTCAGATTTACCTCTTTGGAACTTGGCCCTCAGTCAGTGCTGAACAAATGAGGGGTAACATGCATTTATTTTAGTATACTTCCTGGAGTTAAATACTACTTTAATTTAAATGGCTGAGTGTTGGTTAATCAGCCATGGAGAGGATCCAAGATCAGAAAAGATGGGTTTTTGAGGAATGTGCTTTGTTGTGGGAATCTAGCATGTCAGTGGCTTATTAAGTATTGAATTATTTTCTGTCAAGTACCACAGTATGACATATAAAGAATGGCCCTCTAAGGATGTCCATGTCTTAATCCCTGGAACCTGTGAATGTATTACATAGCAAAGGGGAATTGAAGTTTGCAGATGGAATAAAGCTTGTTACTCAGGTGATTTTAAAATAGATTATCCTGATAGGCCCAGTGTAATCCTGAGGGTCCTTAGAAGTGGTTCATGCCATAGGAACTCCTTCTAGCTGATTCCATGGAGTGCTGAGGGTCTTAAATTGCCTCGAATATTATCTCTAGTTAATGCCTCATTGAGGTAGTCTTTTTTATAAGAGATAATTATATCCATTTTCTGTGATATTAGATGTAATGAAAGAAAGGTACTTTTATTGAATGCTTATGAGAGTCAGGTGCTTTATATGTATTACCTTATTTAATGTGCTAAATAGCCCAAGAAGTAGATATTAAATCCTTTTATGGATGAGGAAATGCAGAGTGGTTAACTTACACAAGGTCATACTGCTAGTAACTGATGACCCTGGGGTTTTATTGCACAATAAAGAGCAAAATTCTGAGGTGCGGCTTTTTCACTTCTGCAAAGACATGCCCATGTTTTATACTCCCTAAAACTATATTTTAAGAAGTCTTGCCTTGAATTTTGAAAGTTGAAGGTGAATTTGTATATTATTGAAGCATAATGACACCATTAACAGAGTACAAAAATTAATATTAGTAATTCCAAGAAAAATCTTTTTTTTTTTAAGAGAGAGTGAGAGAGGAGAGAGAGAGAGAGAGAGAGAGAGAGAGAGAGAGAGAGAGAATTTTTAATGTTTATTTTTTAGTTCTCGGCGGACACAACATCTTTGTTGGTATGTGGTGCTGAGGATCGAACCCGGGCCGCACGCATATCAGGCGAGCGCGCTACCGTTTGAGCCACATCCCCAGCCCCCAAGAAAAATCTTGATCATACATTGACATAGATTTCCTTTCAGTCGTCTTTTCCTCTGTGCAAATATATGCTGCATGCTGCAGTTTTCATGGCTGTAATCGGTCATATTACACATTTTTCATTTTATATTCATTTCATTTTATATTATGTATTTCCTCATGTTATTATATCATTGTAATTATTATATTTAATAGACTATAGTTTGTTTTTAAGTATTTTATTAGTAAAAGAAATGCTGAAAAGTGTGTCAAAGGGTCATACCCAAAAGTCTGTGAACTGGGGACATTTACTTCACTTGCCAATGGGCAGGGTATCAAATCCTTTTGTAGAGAAGGAGGAATAGTCAGGGAATAGTAATCCCATCTACAATGTGGAGCAGGTTGAGATGATCAGAAGTAGAACATAAAAATATAAACAAAGTAGCAGCTATTAAGAGCTGGTCTTTCATATGGTGGTACTTGCCTGTAATACCACTAGCTTGGGAGGCTTAGGCAGGAGGATTGTAAGTTCAAAGTCAGCCTCAGCAAAAGTGAGGCCCTAAGCAACTCAGTAAGATCCTGTTTCTAAATAAAATACAAAATAGGGCTGGGGATGGGGCTCAGGGGTCAAGTGCCCTTGAATTCAGTCCCTGGGACACTCCCTACCCAAAAAAGGAGTTGGTCAGTCTGACAGGGTTTCCTTATCTTGGTAAAACTGGCTTCAGACTTGCCTGCCTCAGCCTCTCATAGCTGGAACTATAGGTGTACACCATCATGTACGACTCAGGCTGCTCTCTCCTGTGTGCTCTCTCCCTCCGTCTTCCTCTTTCTCCCTCCCCCACCCTTTCTGTAATCAATTGTATTCATGGGCATTTTACTGCTGAGCTACATCTCCTTTTATTTTGAGATGAGGTCTCACTAAATTGCCCATGCTGGCCTCGAATTTGCAATTCTCTTGCTTCAGCCTCTTGAATCTCTGGGATTACAGAAGATGCTGGGATTGCAGGCAGGTGCAGAGGCACCCAGCTGAGACTAGTTGGTTTTGAACCCACAGTCTGACTTTAGGTAGAGGCTCTTTGTTCAGGTGCCACTTTTGAAATGAACAGATGAAAAGAAACAGTGTATGGAAAGCATAAATTGCATTGCATGACATGCGGCAACAGCTAGGCTACCAGCACATGCCATTTCCCCCAAAAGGTATAATTTTAGTCCATGGTATCAAATGTGCTACTTTAGTGCCACTATTTAGGTAGCACTTGACTATCTAATGGTGTGGATTTTCTAGTCATCAACACTGAGTTCATCAATTATACTCTAAATCTTTTACTTTCACATTTTTATTTATTGTATTTTGTACCATTGGGTGTTTGTTACCCAGGACTTCACGCATGATAGGTAAGTGCTCCATCACTGAGCTCCATCCCTTGTCCAGATCATTTTTTTAAGTGCCTAGGAATTCCTGGGGAGCTAATTTAAACTTCTTGGCCCCACATCCCAGAAAATACTTAGGTGAGTAATTTCTAAAAGAAAGTTATTGTTTATAGTTCTATAGACCTGACAAGCTCAAGGTTCCAGCATATTTTTGTTATCTGGTGAGGTCTTGCTCTTTGCTGCATAGATGGTGCCTTGTCCCCTCATGGCCTGATCACTTCTAAAGATTTCACCTCTTATTATTTGTATTGGAGATTTTTTTAGCACTAATTTTGGAGGGACATAAAACATTCAAAACTATATCTCAGATGATTATTACAAATTCTTTGCTACTTGAAGGCTGGTCTAGGGACTATCAACACCTAAATCATCTGGGAGCTTCTTAAACTTGCAGAATCTTGGGGCCCATCTCATAGCTACTGAATCAGATTCTGTATTGTAGCAGCATCCCCTGGAGAAGAGAGCACATTACAGTTTGAACAGCACTGATATAGATGGTCCTTAGGAACTCAGCACGAAAAGAAAACTTTTCTTTTTAAAACATGAGTTTGAACCTAGGGCATTGTGTGTGCTAGGCATATTATTTACCAAAGTTTGCTTTTTAATTATTATTTGCCTTTTAATGTTACTAATGAATAAATCAATAATAACTTAAATTTAAAGAAAATCCTTTATATAGTATTTAAAAATAGGGCCAAGCATGGTGGTACACGCCTGGAATACCACTGGCTTAGGAGGCTGAGGCAGGAGGATTGCAAGTTCCAGGCCAGCCTCAACAGTTTAGCAGGACCCTATCTCAAATAAAAGGGGACAAGTATTTACGTGCCCCTGGGTTCGATCTCCAGTATCAAAAAATAAAAAATAAAAATAGGCATAGTTAGAATGGTAGTAATATAGAAGTAGAATTTTCTGGGACTTCTAAGAGTTATCTAGAAGATTTAATCTAGATTGCACAATCTTGGTATATGACATTTTGTTTGACTTATTGGATTCTTCCATTTTACAGAACCAAACTCAAACAATATCCTAAATAACCTAAAATGTAAAATTTGTAGTCTTTAAAACAAAGTGATAATTCTTGAACTGAAGAATCTTTTCTGCCACTTGTCAGTGTTCTTTGATAGCAATGTTCTTGAGTTTTCTTTTGTGTATATTGTATGCCAGGCACCCAAATCCCTGGAAGGACATCCATACTGAATGAGGTGGTATTTGAAAGTCTTTTACAAACTTCCAGATGTTCAATATAAGGTGTTTGCTAGGTTTTAGGGAAAACTGTAGCCTATGGGGCCAAATCTGTGCCTGTGTTTATAAATAAAATTTTATGGAATCACAGTCATGTCCATTCATTTCCTTAATTGTTCATGGATGCTTTCATGAGCCACCCCCAGTATCATTAATAAGGGATAGGTAGCTTTTTGTATGTGTGTCTAATTTCGAAGAGTGAATGATAAATCTTGAATTTTTTTTTCCTTGAAAGAGAAAAAAGGCACCCATCTAACATTTAATAGACCTCTCTCTTTTGTGTGTGTGTGTGTGTGTATGGTATTGAGGATTGAACTCTTGAGGCCCTTTACTACTAAGCTATATCCCCAGCCCTTTTATATTTTGTTTTTGTTTTAACTTTTAGATGAGTCTGGTTAAGGTGCTGAGGCTTGTCTCAAACTTCCTATCCTCCTTCCTCAGCCTCCCA